AAAATACATCTTGAAAATGATTCCCTGTGTGCTTGTTTGTCCTGTCCACTGTCATTTTGCCTTTGAGAAAGATTGTGCTATGATCGAAACGTCAGGCCCTCCATATTTTTGAGATTTCTATTTTAAGTCATTGTAGTCAGCATGCAGTTTGCAGCAGTTTTGTATTACATATCTTTGGAACTGCGCATCGGGAATCAAGTCGGCATCCTCGTCTCGAAAGGCAATGGTTATTGCAGGCATAGAATATTTCATGGCTATAGAGCCCAATTCTGGTGTGGCAGTCTTTTTTACACGTCGTGCAGGCATATCTGGGTTGGATCACGCGTGGAGGCCGCACGCTGCTTCCGAGCTGTTCTTTTCTAAGTGGCCTGGAGTCTTGCGTCAGCTTCAACTTTTGAGACCCCAGCTTTGACGTTTTCCGCCAGGTCTCGCGATCGGAGGCAAGGTCCTCCCAGCAGGTTGTGTTGAAGTAAGCTGCTTTGAGGTCATGCTTAGCAGTGTCTTTGAAGCGCAGCAGAGGTCGGCCGACTTGTCGGATGCCATCACGTAGTTCACCATAGAGAATTTCTCTTGGCCGACGGTCAGGCTCCATGCGATATACATGACCGAGCCAGCGCAGGCGCCTTTGAATTATGAGCATGGAGGGAATGCTCAGAAAACCCGCGCGCTGCAGGACCTCATTGGTGGGGACTCTGTCCTGCCATCCGTTCATCCCCCAGTTTGGACCAATGCGTTTGGTCGGGGATTGGGCTCGTTTTTGCAAATTCTGCGTCGTATTGGGGAGCTTGAGAACACCAAGATGCCAGTGAGAATGCCAGCAGTCTAGAAGTCTTGTCGCCCACATCTTCAAACTTGACAGCCATGCCAGGTCACCTGATATAGCCTGTAAGTATTTTATTTTCTATAAAAAACTGCAACAAAATTCCATGAAGTGTTGTTAATCTATTATTGGAAAGAACGTTGTAGTTCACGCGCCCATGATGAAATAAATTATGTTCATTTGTTAAAGCAATTATTTGATTAAAAGCGAACAAAACAGCGTAATGTTTTAGGAGATTGTTATGAAATAAACGCTACAGTGGTAAATTATTCAAGCGATAATTCGAAACTTTGGAGATGTAGTGAAAGTGATTGGTCAGAAATCGTTTGAAAGTAGTTAACTTTATTTCATTGAAATGGATTTTGTTTTACAAATTGGGCTTTTTATCTTGGACTGGGGTCTTGGTTGACGAGTAGACGTTCCTCCACCGATGTGCCGTGCCAGGATGACACCTAGCCCCGGGGACGACAACAGGACCCGCCTTAAACCGAGATCCGGACCAAAGACCACAAGTGCCCATCAGTATCTTTTAATTTTTTTTCTTTTGACTCTCATCCGTCGAGAAGATCTTGAAACAGATGATGTCGAATGCATATGGGTTGAAATCAAGTGTAAACAAAGACAGCCTGTACTCATCAGTTCTGTGTATAGACCACCTTCAAGCTGTGTTGATTTTATAGACAAACTTGACGACATTATCGGTAAGGCCTCCTGCGAACACAAAGAAATGATTGTAACTGGGAATTTGATTGTGATGTTTACAAAAATGTAAATCCCAAGCCAATTAGTTCTTGTTTTAATTCGTTTCAAATGTTGCGACGTATACACGAACCAACACGTACTACTGGCTCCACTCAGACCACAATTGATCACATTTTTAGTTCCCACCCACAGCTCATAAAAGATTGTATTGTCTTACCAGTCGTAATAAGTGACCACTATCTTGTTTACGGTTTAAAAAGTTGGAAAACGCCAAAAATGAAAGGTCGTTCAATTAATTTTCGGTGTTTTAAAGTGCCATCCTGTGTCCCACCAAATTGTAACTTGTATATGTATGCAGATGACTCCACTCTAACGTGTAGCTCTTCCAATATTAATGAAACAGAAAGGAGTCTGAATGTCGCTCTTGACAGAATTCTACACTGGTGTTTAAGAAACAAACTTGAACTAAATACAAACAAAACCAAATGCATGATTATTGGCTCAAGGCAGAAAAGCGCCAATACAAAATTGAACTTCTACATTGCTGATAGCCCAAAGAAAAATCTTGCAAATGCTTGGGAGTTATTATTGACGAAACACTAAGTTGGGGCCCACATGTTGATAACGTAAGAAAAACAGTTTCACCTAAATTAGGTATGTTAAACAGAATCCAGAAGTATGTCGGACAAAGTTGCCTGCACACACTTTTCATTAGCTTAGCTATGCCAACTTTAGAATACCTTTGCACGGTATGGGTAGGAAGATACATTTCCCACGATACCATTCTTAAGAAATGTCTAAAAAGAGCTGAACGGATAATCCTCAAATGCACCTCTCTCACTCCCTCAGCGAATATGTTTGCTACACTGAACTGGGTGCCATTTTCCGAGAGTTAGATCTAAAAAGACTGTTCTTGTTTTTAAATCTCTAAACAAATTAGCTCCTATGTATATGACAAATCTGTTTATGCCACTCACACAGATTCGTGAAACAAGATACTCAGTCAACAGGGCACCTAAAGTCCTTAAGCCAAAAAAAAGAAGGCTACGCTCAAATTTTTGCGGTCAAAGGTGCAAAAATATGGAACAATTTGCCAGAGCAACTCAGAGGTATAGACTCCTTTAGGGACATTCAAATCAAAACTACGGAAGGCCATGACCAGTGTTGTTTAGTCTAAAAAGCTGATCTGTGGAGTTGTTAACTTGGTTGCCAATGTTCATTGGAGCCGGATCGGGAATTTCCCCGTGTTCTTTTTTTCCCATAGGGTTTTTTTTTGTGCGGGGTTTTCGCCCATCCCGTGATCAGTGTTTTAATTAATGCCTTGATTATTTAAATGTTTACATGTGTATGATGTTGTAGTGGTCTGTAAAACGGTAAATATTAATGTTTGTCGTATTTGTCAATATTACTTTTCATCTTGAGCTTCTACTATTGTACTAATTTTTGTTCGTAGGGCCCCGATGGAAACCAGTTTGAAACTGTTTGGGCATACCCTGGGTAAAGAAATGGAATAAATAAATAAATAAATTTTGATATGATCTCCTCAAGGTTTGCTTTGAATGTATTTAAGATGAACTATGTAATTAGTGGTATTTAAAGAGGATTAATATATTAAGAGTGTTGAACTATATTTTATTGTGTTTGGTCCTATATTTTCTCTGACTCGTTCTTTTTAGAGTTTTGGTTCAAAGGTACCATTTCTAAGGCCTTTTAGGAGGACTTGTGACATCAGCGAAGCACTGAGCCTTGACGAGATCCGTGGAGCCGCAGGCATTGATGCGGGGGCGACCCTTCGTCTTGGCGTGATACATCTTCTTGGGCTTCAGCCTGACCTTACTGGCGACAAGGGAGTGGTCTGTTGATCGCACTCGGCGCTATTGAAGCTTCTTGTGAGAAAGATGCTGCTAAGGTTCGCTCTTCTGGTTATGACAAGATCAAGCTCGTGCCAGTAGCAAGACACTTTCTGCAGATCCTTACACATGAAGTGGGTGTTTGTGATGTAGAGACCTTGAAAGCAGAATTCGAGCAGCCTCTGTCCGTTCTCATTCATCTTGCCTATGCCGAAATGGCCGAGGCAGGTTAGGCCATGCTTGCCAGTCTGTTCCAACACGGGCATTGAAATCACCTACCAGGTATATGCTCTCGGAATTCTGGACAGTGTGTCTCCCAAGGCCTAGTAGAACTGGTCTTTAGCCTCAGGGGTGGAAGTGAGTGAAGGTGTTTCTATGGAGGCAGTCAGCGAGTTCCTCACAGCAAAACCCACACCGTGCTGCCTAGGCTCGTCCTGGGAGGAGAAGGTGTAGGCCTAGTCTAATTCTCTGAGGAATCCGCTGTCAGGCAGCCGGGTTTCCTGGAGGCAGGTGACGTAGATGTTGAGCCGTGACAGCTCTTTGTTATTGGTGGCGGTCTTTCGGGAGTCATCCATCTGCTCAAGGTCAGCGGAGGGTCCAGGGCACATATAGTGCGAACGTTCCAGCTTGCAAATCGAAGAGCTGGAGTCTTCGTTAATTTCTACTTTTGACCGCTTGGTGCAGGATCTTGCTCGCTTGTCAGGGGAACCCTTGAGCTCTACGCACCCAGTAGAGCAGGTGAGCAATGACAGGGCAGCACCCAACTGACCGGGGGCTGCCCGGCTTGAGGCGGGCAGGAGCTGTTCAGTGAAGCTACGAAGGCTTCTCCCACCATCAGATGAAACCCCTGGCGCTCCTCATTGCGCCAATCAGTCGGAGCTTATAACTGGTAACTGTCTCGTCGCGTGTTGTGTCGGAGTCTTGCGATGCCGCTGGAGTGTCCTCTCCAGTGTGCACTAAAGGCCTGGGCGGGGGAATATAGGGACGTTGGGCTGCCCACACTTCAGTGTCCCCCTCTCGGTGTCGCTGGCAGGTTCCAAGAGAAAGGATGAACCAATACAACTTGGGGTCAGTTACACTGCAGGAGCTGCCGGCAGGAGGCGTAAGGCACCTGTAGCCACCATCGGGGCTCCAGCGGAAATAGGTAACTATAAACACACAACTTCAATGGGGTTCTTTCATGGAGCTGGGGCATGCAGTGCGTTCGCACTGCTGTTACCTGCCCGTGTTCATTCGATTCTGGGGCTGGGAGCTGCCCGTGCCTGACCTTTCAAGAAGACGATAGGCCTAATTCCTAATTAGCCATCGAAACTTCAGTTATACAGCTCTGGAAAAACAGGACTAAGCACGCTACCAACTAGTACCAAGTACCATCATTGTGCACTTTTAACACAAACAAGAGACTAAACCTAAGTTATAGACGGCACTGGTTACCCGCTGGATGTGCATGATTGTACAAGGACTGCAAAGTGCAGTAAATCACACAGACGGTGTTGTTTCATACCCGTTCGCCTCAACGCAATGTTTTCTTTTTCTGTCTCTCCCTTTGGGTAAAATTTCCCTTGACATTCAACTCGCTAACTCAGTACCAAGCTTCCCGCAGATACGGGGACTTAAAATTGCTGGCAAGCCAGAATCGATACATTCCATACCGAGAATGAGTTGTGTTTTTAAAAGCATTGCGGCAGGTAGCCGGTCTTGGGAAAATTGAAAATGAAACAAGTTGAGATGAGTAAATCATCCATGAGTCAACTGGGTCCCCTTTTAGTCTAGTGTTTTGCTTCATTGGAGGACAAGAACCCAAATAGGTTTACGCTACAATGACCGTCAGGTGTGACATGGACAAAGGTTTACAAGCTCTTGGGCTTTAAATTTGTTCGAGTTAATTGGTCTCTCCCCCCCCACAAGTCTGATTATTACCCGTTCGACTCCGCCGTGCAGTGCTCTATACGAGTAAGCAAGCTTAAACTTTTTTGACAGATGGCATATACTTTTCCGGGTGTTGGTCACATGACACTTTGTAAACACTTGCATAAGCGCAGTGACAACCTCGACTCCGTGGGCTGCCTGCGCGTTCTTTCACTAGATGGTTGTGCTGAATACGAAATTGAAGCTGACCCATAATGAATCGTAAAGTCAGTCGCGCACGTATTTCAAAAGCTGCGCGCTCGCGCCCATATTCTCTTGCGCGTCACCCACGCGTAAATCCATGTCGTGCGTAAACACGCTGGGGATATTTACTAAATAGGTATGACCGCGTAAGGCATGGTGGGAGCCAATGGCGCAGCAAGATCGTGCCCATGGGAACGAGGTTGGCAAAGTGACGACCCCTGGAAGGTTCGACCTACATACATGTACATAGACATGCACGTAGCGTACCACCGGCACCACCAGCTGCTAGCTGGGCTAGCGCAGCAGCGCGACACTAACTTCGTGTGGTGTATGTAGCTAGTCAGCTGAATACTGTAGATGTGGAACTGCACTGGAAAACACGGACCGTGAAATATTCATGTGAGTTGTAGTGTAGCCTAGTACTCAGTGGTTGAATGTTGTCAAAATACATGTAAATGCGAAAAATGTGGGATCTAGGCACCAATCTAGCTCTACAGAGTGGAGCGTTTTAGTATTGCTCTTTTTCAAATTTGATGGGGCGACATTTCATGATTTATTTTGGGGGGAGGGGGCTAGTGTCTTTATTTAGAAACTTAGGGAGACGGGTTTGAGCCCCCTCAGACCTCCCATTTCACGCTAAAAAAGTTTGTGTCCTTCCTCCATGCTCTCACTCTCTCCGCCCCGTTTCCAAATTCAATGTTCGTGTACTTTCAGAACTAGGCCTATAATAAGGTTTAGCACCACGTGGTGGTGCAAGATAGGGAACTTCATCGTGAATACGTGTAAAACGTTGTTATCGGTAGCTACTGGTAGTTTGCGAGGATATCCTATGGTATAGACAAATCCGAGGAGACGCCATTCCTACATGTATCCTGCGAGGCCATCACACTCACACGGCCAAATTTCTTAACTTACATGTACAACATGGAAGCATGCCCACTCTCCTCAGCCTCCTCAGCAAGTCACAACAGCCTCATTGGGCATAGTGGAGTGTAATACCGCGTACTTCCGGTGCTTGCGTGCGAATAGCATGGTCCCAAAGTAATGGCTTCTGATTCTCTTGGCCGGATTTGTCTATGATTGGAAACACTGGGCAAGGTTTTATAGGCATCATACCCTCTGATTCTGTGCACCAGATCCCAATTCGTTACCAGGCTCCGAGTTGCCTTCCTTTTTTCTCTGGTGCACAGAGTTAAAACTCCATCTGGAAGTTTGCACAATGAAGGCTGCAGTTGTCATGGTTTGTCTCGTCGCTGTAGCATCAGCTCACCTCTGTCTCCTGAACCCGCACCAGCGTGGCTCCATGAAAGGCATCAATGTTAAAGGTAAATGAAGTACCAGCAGTTGGAAAAGTTATAATTGATGCAGAGGCAAGAAACTCATTGGAAGTAATTGTGCCGGTTTTCTTAATGGCACTGGTACTGCCATGCTCCACTTTGGTGTATTTTCTTTATGGTCAGCTACAGGATTTTGGTATTTTATTTTGTACATGTACATTGTAATGAGGAGAAAATGGGCAAAATGACTTAGTAAGCGAGAAGGACATTGTTGAAAGCCTGTCACAGGCACTTAGGAACTGGGGGGGCAGAGAGGTCAATAGCCCCCGAAAATATGGTGGGAGCCGGGCCCTCCTTAAGGAGTTGTGTAATTTGCATTCTCGGAGTGGAGAGTAGCAGTGTGTGATCAATGTACTCGGATTACATTGAAAAATCAAAATTTTAGAGAAATTTTATTTTTCTGGCCCCCTTGGTAGACTCATCTTCCTACAGTACATGCCTGTGTCATGCCAGCGTACATGTACGTGTATCAGTACATGTAGGCTATCTCTGGTGACTCAAGCAGACAGGTGACAAAGTTGAACTTGATCCAGCTTTTCCAACTGTCTGCTGGATGATTGCGTTAGTCATGATAAAGGGTTTCCATATCACCATGATTACTGCATATCAGTGGGGACTGACCAGCGACACTCTCTTTGTCTCTTTATGTCGATATGGAAATCAGGCTTTAGATGAGACCTACAGGCATTTCAAAGCATGTACATGTAAAAGGAAATGCAACAACATTCGCTCGTGTGCACAGCAACGGTCATGAAAATTTCAGAAGTTTTGATTACACTGGCTGTGACAGTTTCATGTGTGACTTGGGCTACATTTGCATAAGTACCACTTTCGATACTCACAGGTGTTTGAAACGTGGTATGCACATTACTCTCAGATTACATGGCGGGAACAGTCAGTACAGATACGAGATCTTTTTGCCAGTAAGTCACGTGATGGAAGAATATACGCCCAGTCTGATCGAATATACCGGTACTCTCACCCATGGGTTGTGTTAACATGAATAACATTCTTGTAGTGCAGTCACAAAATTGGATCATTAGTCTTGTGAACTTTTTTGTCTGCTCTAGAGGCTGATGACTGTGGCCTGCTGGTTAAACCGTGCGGGAATCGCACTCAAGAAAAGCCAGGCATTCAAATCAAGTATGTACTGGTACAAAGGGCAGAGTTTCCTAACTCTTAGTAGTAAATTAATTCTAACTTAAAACTGTCCTACATGTACATGTACCGTGCGTAGCTCTTTCAAAATCAACCTGTGGGTTCTGGAGGGTTTTGCAGGATTGTGAAAGGTACGGCCCAGCTTCTGCACGTACATGTACATAAATATGTCAGCCCTACGTAGTGCATTAAACCAGGTGTCAGAGTTGATCTCTTGAAAGTAAACTGCAGCAAATGCACTGTTTTGTTTCTTGCGTGGTGTTGACTTTTAGAAAACTGATGAAGGATCACTGTAAAAAACCCAGAGTTTTACAGTCAGAACAAAGTCTGCTGCTTTGCAGAATTTCCCAACGTGATCCAAATTTGAGCAAAACACTTTTCATCTGTTCATTCTCAGTTTTCTTTTTCCCTTCTTGACAGAGGAGGATCTCCCTACACTGTTGTCTTCCAGAAGAACTTGAACCACTTTGAAACCTTTCCAAATGGAACAGTCACAAATGTGAGATTTTACATTCTCCAAGATTGTACATGATAATAATGTAACAAAAATCTATACCCTAGCTCATCAGCTGAAATGTTTTCTAAATCCGCTAGGATAGGTTCTTTAGAGCTTCAAGTTACAACAACTACATGTATTTCAAGTGCACAACCCACAGCCCTCATCATTGGTGTTCATTTACTCTTTGATGGGTGGAGCTTACTTGTAGCTACATGTACATGTACGTGTAGCATTCTTCAACCTGTAGAAGTTTTTGGCAGCCTACCAATGCTCACTTCCCCCTACCATATTTAATAAGTAGAAAGAAGCTTTAAAATCTGGGCGCCATACATGTATTTAAAATATTTGGTGGAATCTGTCCATTTACTAAATGTAATATTTCATGCCATAAAGCATCCATCTTGACAAAAGCTGTGTGAAAATGTCTTGAAAGCTTCTAGTCTGTCCTACGGAGAGGATCTACATGTACACTGTACTGGTATACATGTACATGTACGTGCTCCGGTATGTGTCTTGTCACTGTACATTTACATGAATTTAAGCCTAGACAGGCACTAGATTGACCTGGACTCCACAAATTGGGGGTGGGGGTCTGGGTCCCAGGAGAACCCTGTAGAAGCAGTCAAAGCTGTACTGGCGTTTTCATGCCGTGGGTTTTCTAAAGTGTAAGATTTCTCATGGAAATTCTTGTAGTGTGCATGTAACTGTGTACAGTGTACATGTACTCCCTTTAAATTGCCAACTCCATGTCGGCCAAACTTGTACTGTACATGTATTCAGACAAACCCTGGACATGCACAGACTGAGGAAACGTACATACACGTGTCTATGCATCAATGTAAATGTACATGTATGTATTTACATTCCGCTAATGTCATGTGCCCTACTGTGTATTTCAGGGATATTTTGAGATATCATTTTGGACCTCCACTGAGTGTCACATACTGGGCAAGGTTGACGATGGAGCCACACCTTCCCTCACGCTTTACTCCCCAGTTGTGACCATGCCAACTGGGTAAGAAGAGTTGCAGGAATGTACATATCTTGAACTCATTGTTTCACACTGTGTCACCACGCTGCCTAATGGGTTTCAAGTTAATATTTTCGGTTGCATTTCGTGACTGGTAAGGCATTCTGGTGATTTTTAAATTGTAAATGTAGAAAAATGTTTCAGTAATCTTCAGCATAGAAGTTATGTCCCATTTACACCTTCCCCATCAAGATTTGTCTAACTTAAAGGTGTTGTATTCAGTAAACACTGCATAATACAGTACATGTACAGTACACGTACAGTACGTGTAGCATTACACTGTTGCCAAGGAGAAGGCTCTTTGCATTTGGTCCTATATCTGTGTATTGAAACACAACTTAGACATCTTTACACTCTGAAATACCGGTACATGTAAGCTCTAGCTGTATTGCATGCACAGTCATGACAATTGTGAACATCGATCAAAAGTCAACATCAAAGGAAAGTTCTAATTTAGCCTCCTTTCATGTTTGTATGATGTGGCATACATGTACCTTGCCGTGTGTGTACAGTGTATGTGTGGATGTCATCCCCTGTCATCCATGTCTCAGTTAAACTTGCCCTTTCCTTCCTCAAATTCACAGACCTATTGGAGTTCCTGCCATACTGCAGGTGAGTGAAGCAACCATACATCAGTTGTTGTTCAGCAGCCAAACTTAGAATTTGTTAACTTATTTTGGGCGCATCAATGAAATACATGTACCAGACATACATTCAAAAGGAAACGGTTCTGCTGAATGGCAGGGTAAATTGTGTACTGGCAAGTGGTGAATCTATTGCAAAATCCAGTATTGATATCACCTTGCCGAGACATAAACTTATGGCAGAGGAACAAGAAAATGAATTTCTGTTCCCGTTTCTCTTGCAAAACCGAGTAAGGGAAGTCCTCTTTGTGTGTTCATGGACCCTTGACCCATCTCTTTTTCACCCTTCTCTCTCTCTCACAGTTGACCTATGTGACCAACAATGCTGAAGTTCCCATGGGAGGCATCTTTTACCAGTGCACCGACATTGAACTGTTCTAGGGCTATAGATGAGCTGATCTGTGACTATGGTGTAACTTTCAACATCTTCCTATAATTTGTTTCTTTAAAGACATGCTTGTAAATCTTCCCCCCCCAATTTAGCTGTGACTTTTTATATTCAGCCACGTGCATGTAGCATTTCTTTTATTATGTGACACAAATGATATAGCCTTTGGTATCTTGGGGGCCTGGCACTCTTCAGCATGTTCAGGGTGAATATTACTCTATTCCCCACGTCAGTAATCATGAGGCAGGATGCCTGTACTTTGGGCCAATTTCATAGAGCTGCTTAAGCACAACATTTGCTTAAGCGTGAGAAAAGCTTACTTGAAAAATCAGGTAACCAGCCAAAGCTCCATGTGATGTACATGTATATTGTTTTGGGGTCGTATTTATCTGTCTTTTGGTTAGCATGACAATTAAATAGAGTGTGAGCTGGTAACCTTTGTTTTTTTTAAGCAAGGTTTTCACATTTCAGCAGATTTTGTGCTGAAGCAGCTCTGTGAAATTGACCCCAGCTGCAGTTGTGTATTTGTCCAGGTATTTGAGTACTTGTAGCAAGCCATGTAAGCAAAGATTGGTGGGGGGAATGCCCTGTAAGAAGCTCCATTCTTCATGTCGCTTTTCCCTGGAAATACATTAGCTTTCGCAACTTACATGTATTTGCCTGTCGAGATTGGGATGCCTTTCCAGGGTGCACAACCTCGTGGCAAGTACCCCCAACATTACGCACTAAGATATAGTCAGTGTTGTTACGAAGGAGACCCCGTCTTACATGGATCATAGACTGTCCAACACACGCAAGTCTGCGGGATATAGGAGTTCCTTGTGAACTCCATCATGAGCCCTAGCAGATGGTTTCAGAATGACGGAAATAGGCTGTACTGCCCTCTACTCGCTGTTATATGTAAATGTTGTTGGAAGTCTTTGGACCCCCTTGTAAAAATTCCTTTCTTAAGCTTAGAATACATACATTGCCATTCCCCCATGCCAAGTTTTCTTCCTCTAATCAGGGTTGTGGACATCCAGTGGTCATCATCCCAGCAATTGACAATGATTTCTCTGCAAAGACAAAACACTGTGGTCTGATTTATGTTCTATGTTTCAGAAAGTAACCAAAACCACAAGTTTCTCTGAATATAAACATACAGTAGCAGACAGTAAGCATACTTATTTAACCTTGACAAACTCCATTATATGCACCCACCATTTGTAAGCATACCAGTAAGCATACTTATTTAACCTTGACAAACTCCGTTATATGCATCTACCATTTGCGGATAAAAAAAGCACCTTCTAGATGTGCCATACCTTACCTCAAAATAGCTCATTCTTGCAACATTTAATTCAAACTCATAAATTCACTTGATAGAATAGTGATAATCGTCCTATCACTCCAAAAACATTGACTTTACTGGGACTTTTTTTAATTATTCGGACAATTGAAAGTGTTGGCAAACAGTGCGACTGAAATATAAACAATGTTTCAATGACAAAATTGTTGGTAACCTCAGCATTTGCATCTATAAAATTGAGTCAACTGATGAGAGCCGTATTTTGTGTCTTCTTTATGAAGATCTCTGTTACACATTGCAAGTACATATGATGAATTCTTTGCCTTGCGTCTTTTTAGAAATGCTGTAACTTTCCCTTATGCTGCACGTGAAATTCTCTACGTGTATCTCTAAAGTTTTCGCACAAACCCTCTGTAAGATGTTTGTGAACATATTTTTGTATATACATGTATTTTGAGTTGGTGTATGGTATTTATATTTGGGATATATGTGTTATGTCACAGTAGATTTTGAAAGCAGTTTGTATACTTTCGTAGATTATTGTTTCATTTTTTAACCTGGTGACGTCAAAGGAGGTTATCGTTCAATTTTTTGAAAAATTATTCTTCATGCAAGTGCTATAATTTGCCTAAGTGCCTCTTCAACACTCCTTACAACCATTTTTCCTTCCCATCACATCACTCTAAAATGTGTACAAGTGCAGATGTCTTTTTTTGTCTTTGACACTCTGGAATTCCCTTTTGACATATGCACCTCTTACAAACTACATGTAGGTCTGTCCAGTAACTGAACGTTGTGTGCGATCATGGAGTTCGCTTGACGAATCAGCAGTTTTCTTAGGGAAACCTTTTACTGTTCCCTTGCTTCTCTTAATAACTTAATACATGTTTGTCATTTTCCTCACAGGCCCGTAACTGGGGGGTGCAGAGGTACGTTCGCACCCCCACACGACTAAAATGCCCACTTTTGAGGCTAGAAAAGATTGAGCTATAGTAGAACATTTTGCGCCAAAAAACAATGCCGCGAAAGTCTATTTGGGTTATTTCCATCGGGCAATCTATCTTTTTTCTTAAATTCTAACACGGCAAATTGGTTAAAAACAACTCTTGGCTTCAAAATATGCCTCTGTAATTGCCTTCAGTTAATGTCTTTGCCCTTCATTGTAGGCCGCACGTGTATTATTCACTGCACAAGGCCTGAATCTGTTTTCTTGAAATAATATATCGTAGTTTTTTTTGTGAAAGCAAAGGTAATTGGTATATCTTTTGGAAAATAAATGATTTTTAAAAGAATCCATCTTTGTGTATCACACTTTTTTAATGTGTAAATATTCCTCATTACAAGTTTTGTTACACAAAATGTGAGACTGTTCGAAAGATCCGAAGTAACCATCTGCGGGCCAGAAACGTGTAGCTCAGAGCCACATAAGAATTTAAAAGACAAGAACAACGTGCACGTTGGAGGCAACTTGTGGCTTGGATGAACGGACAGACCTAGCGCATGTGCTGCTGTTCTCGAGTGAAACTTGGACGCACGTCATTTTGGGAATGACGTTGGAAAATAGAACTGGCCCGAGACCGCCTTTATGGTCAAGGCGCCTGATAAGCTAAGCGATTGGCCCTGGGACGCCAACGTAATTACACCGAGCCTTAAGTCGAACTAAATCTGGTATGTGGCCCTCACAGAAGCAGATGGAAGTCGGCACCGATACCACACCCATCTGAAAAATACCACTTCGTTTGGCCTATTGTGCTACAGTTTTGGGCCATGTGCACATGGTACAGTACTATAGATCACCGCGTCTTCAGAGGCGGTGCACCCTAGGATGGTTCCCCAGGTACACAACTTCACGTCAATTATACCATAGATCATAATACATGAACGCCAGGAGCACGGACCATGATGTCAGTTTTTGAAGTCGTTATGAAGAAGACCCCCAGGCTTACATGCAGTGGCGTACGTAAATCTGTGTTGGAAATCAGGGGGGGGGGAAGGGATGTGATAACTTGCCCAGCCATGGAAATTTGAAAAGCGGGGTGGGTGGGCGACACCATACACTATGTTGGGGCGAAGTTTAAGATAAAAATATACATCAGTAATGCATATCAATTTCAAGCAGGATATTCAACATCAAAATATGGTATACATGTGATTATAGCTTTTAAAAATTGCTTTGCCATTTTAGTGATGTTTGTCGTTGGAAAATCTTCAAAATCTACTTTAATTTCTTGGTTCATCACAAAACGTGTGGGGGGATCCAATAGCCCATCCCTCAAAGTGTGTGTGTGCGGGGGTGTGGGGTATATACCCCATGCCCCCGGGATTTACGCCCCTGCTCGCACGTGTCGCAGAGCACATCCAGCGCGATGCGGCACCAGAGAGACGGAGTAAAATGCAGGCAGTATAGCCCTTCCAACAGTCGGAGGTTCCCGTTAGGGTTAGCACTCGGCCTTGTTATGAAGTTCCCAACATTACGAGCCACCAAGCTGTAAAACACATGGAGAGAATGCGTCACGAAAGAAATCCCGTTGCTCTCTCTTCCATTAGTGCTGGAAATCTATCTTCCGATGCCCTGTAATGTATCTGATGATGCACATACTGTCGTCCCGTTGAAGATTTCCAACGCACAATGCCGATAGCACTGCCCATGGATCACCAGCCGACCAGCGTTGGGGTCTATCCTCTGAACATCTACAGAGACGTCAACAACAACTCTCTGGAGCTTTACCGGCGCAGAGGGGACCGGGGCTCCTTGTGACGAAAACATTACAATACCAAGTACAGAACAGCCAAGCACAAATTCCCAATGGGTGGTCACATAAATATCATCTGAAATGACAAGCATATTAAAAGAAAATTAATTGTTAAGTATAGTATAGTTCCAGGACAAATGGGTGAGCCTACAGATAATCGGCTACATGTACAATTGCACCCACTAGCCTACAGCTAAACCTGCAAGTACCAGGTATTGCGAGTTGGACTCCTGGCCGGCAGTCCCTGCTCCGGAATTGACATTGTAATGTCCCGTTGTGCTTAAAGTTAAGGTGGGGAGTGGCTCGGACGTCGATTTTTTTCCCGCATCTGTGCTCGCCCTTTTACGGAAGCGTATAAAGACCACTTGAAAAAAAATTTCCAGTTAGGCCTACTATCTCGCCGCGGCGAGTTAAATTGTTATATGTGTATCTCGCCTCGGCGAGTCATAAGATCTTGCCGCGGCGTCCAATTGATACCCCGCCGCAGCAAATATTTTGATAGATTCATAAGTCCTACTCAGTGCATTGTTTTCAAATGTATCTTTAGGATGGAGTGCATTGAGATTTGATTTTAGATTGCTAATAATAAAAGGGGCTGTTACATTTCATCCCTTCTTCATTTCCAACACAAAAGAAAAAAATATCTTTTTGGGGTATGAATTTCCATATCCGCAAGTGGGGTAGACTTCTTTGACTCCCTGGTAGACTGCCTGTTGAAAGGATCACAGTGCCTTTTCATTTATGCTTTAAATAATATTTACATACGCACCGTTATGGGAACCCTGAAAAGAACGAAAAAAAAATTCCAAAGAAATAAACATTAGAAATTAAATAGAATATAATTATTTGCTTGAGAAAAAAAGTGGAACCTCTTCCTACAGTTAAATGTAATTGTTTTAGCTAGACCGTTTCCTCACCCCCCCCCCCAAAAAAATACTAGTGACGCCCATGCTTATTCTAAGCTAGTGTACGTGTGTTGCCATTTTGGATCAAACCTTGATGATGATATCATTCTGACCTTAAAATCTGCTATAATTTATGAGCTTTTAGCAGGCAAAAAGAAAAATGAAGTGAAGGTGAAAGGAAAACTAACACACGCTTTTTCATCAACTGGATTGAAATTCCCAGGCTCTTGACCTCACCTCCATGCATTCACTTGTCATAAACCACCCGTACAGCGCAAGGCGCTGGGAAGGGCAAATGTGTAACATATTTTTGTAGAGAGTTTATTGAATGGAGTCTAAATACTTCCGGCTCGGTGCACATGATTCTTGTGCACTTGTACTATATTTGGTTTGATCTTCCAAAGCTGTGAGGTATTTCATGCGTTGTGTTTGCAAAAGTACTGTATTAAACTCCCATTTTAAGTACTATAAATTAATAAATTTCGACTGATGAAAGTTCAAATTTAATATAACTTTCAAGTCCACTTGCTTGTGTTTGGCACTGGGAATACGTAGGAAGGAACTGAAAGTGTTACAGTTTACCCCTCATCTGAATGTGGAAATTCACACGACAAATTTCGTTGTCTTTGTGTTGCAAAACAAGCTAAGTTGTTGAAATGTAACATCCCAGCGATCTAAAACCAAATCTCAATGCATCTCGTCCTAATTAAAACAGTGCGCTGAATAGGACTTATGAAACTATTGAAATATTCGATGCAGCAAAATATCAATTTGACGCCGCGGCAAGATCTTATAACTTGCCGCGGCGAGATACACATACAACGATTTAACTCGCCGCGGAGAGACAGTAGCTCGAAAAAAATGTTTGCAAGTGGCCCTTCTACGCTTCCGTACTTCCCGTACCTTTCGACACGCAAACCCGGACGGAGAGACTTTGTCTATCCTCACCCGTTGATTCAGACAAAACGCCAGGAAAATGAGACCCCGTGCAATGCGTTCACGACGTCGAAGTAGGACGTACAGGACCACGTGGTTGACTGACACAAAGGCAAGAATCCATGATGTGCCCAAAAAATGATCATAAAAAACTGATGAAATCTCTTTTTATACACCCCTTAGCACAAAAAACGTATATCTAACGAAACTGATTTCTCTTTCAGTACTGATGTGAAAATAACCTCGGTGACTTCAGTAACAAACATTAAGGTACAGTGAGCTTGACCCTGTTGTATGTATTGTTTTGGAAAAACCATAAGGCCTATGGGAAAAATCACGCATCACCCTGGGCACTGTAGGCCTAGTAATAATGCACCATTGGAATGTCCAAACTGTTCCATTTTCGGTTTAATGCAGGTTTTTAGAGATATCTCTACAAGACCGAGGCGGCTTAATTAACCAACTGGCCCAAGCCGAAAATCACAATCGCAAAACTGAAACCATCTGACCCGAATGAATACTGCAACATGGCAGCGTTTTTTCCTACTTTAGACAGTCATGACATTATCCGCTGATTTTCTTTCTGCCCACTAGATCATTGCTGGGCACTTGTTAATGATCAGCGTCAGCATCTATGCTTGTACTCTGCAGTTGTATTGTAATTTTTCATGTACTCCAAAACCATGTTACCGTAATACGCGTATTGGTTGGGTTTTTATACATAGTTACATCATGTGTGGTCAGATTTTGGTTGGAAATTGGTTCTATACCTTACTGCGGGGAAGTCAAGATTCATTTATGAGTCCTTAAAGTCTGAATAATAATAATAATAAACAAGCACAAAACTTACTTGTGTTGCATTCTGTATAAAAGAAGTCACTTTCAGTAGCATTCTTATAATTATTTGTACACACTGTGATATAAAGTTGAACGAACTTGAAATCACATCCTTTTAGCTGTAAGTTGAATGCTGTACAGGGGCCTTTAACAGTTCTTTTTTAGCATATCTGTATCCCCATCCCAGCCTCCCTCAGTCTATGACGTTCGCCGTTGCAGACGAGCAAGCGGCGGGGTAGAAGGGGTGATACTCAGATCAAGCAAACCACCACCCAACCCCTCAAGAAGTTTTTGAAAAAAAAAGATCCACTTGTACAAAAGCACCGCGTCAAATAAAAGTTTTGTGTCAAGCACAGCATTTGTTGCACATCTACACAACAATAAATCATGAGGACTGGTTTATTGAACCATGGACTTATGGATAGAGCAAAGGCAACTTCAATTTGTTTACAAATAGATAAACTAATTTTCCACCTGGTCACGTGCTGGCCATATGACAGTTTATGTAAACCTTGATCATCCCGTCACATGACATTGTTAAACCTTCACTGGTAAACAATGTGAACATAGCGCAATGCAGTGTTCTACGGCAAATTTTCAGCAACCAGTTAGTACATGTACTTGCGAACCCGGGAAAATTGTGTTCGAAAAATTGGAAAATTCGCTTGTTTTGATTGAAAACTTGTACTCTAGGTGTTAGGCGATCATTTTGTGACATCGCGACGTGACACCTGACTGGTACTTGAAAACACGGGCTCTAAGAACATTCAGGTGAGTTTTGTTTGGCCGTCAAAATCGTTCCATATAAAACTATGGTACATTTTTCTCCAAAGTGACTCTATATTATTGTTTTGTTCTTTTTTAGAGGACGTAGTTGCACATTCTAAGACAACCTTAGTGTGTGTTGGACCTATGTAACCAGCCAAGATTATTTAAGAGATAGAATCAAGGAAATAACTTCTCTGCCAATGCCTGAGAAAATATCTTATAATAGTATTAATAGTGACATCTACTTGGAAAATATTTTTACCACCTTTTGCAGGAATATTTCTGAAAATATACACTCGAGGATGCCTTATTTTACCTGTTTGCTTTGCATTTTGTTTGTTTATGCAGTTATTAAAACAACATAACTTTTAAATTTTTTTGATCATTTACGGTAGACATCGTTTCACTCACCATGAAACCCGACGGGGAATGAAATCTCGTTTTAAAAAGACAGTTTTGTGCTAAATCTTTCTCAGAATGCACAACTTCGGATAAAATACCTTTGAGTATTATACTTTATGAAAGGCTATAGGCCTACTCTGATTTACAAACCTAGGCTTAAAATTAAAGCAAACGAAATGGCGGAAAGCTGTACAGGCAATTTAATATCATTATGACTTTAAGCATCTCCGTCCCACGAGGAGTAGATGTGATACTGCAGCCTCGTGTACGTGACATCACCGCAGCCATGGGGCTGCCATCCGCGCCGCACCCCCACGAACCCCTTAGAAAAAAAAACACAGGCATATCCTGCCATTGGCTCTGCACGACGTTTAGCATGGATTTTTGGGTAGATGTACATGTATACCCAGCCACTTCTGCTCACTGGTCGGCCCATACAGTCCCCTGCCAGGTGGCTATAATTAGAGCCTATGCATGTACAGGCTAAACAAACAGGTCGAAACCATGCAGCGTGCACAATGATCCATGCATGGGAATATCTGCTTGGCCAAAATATGAATATAAATGTGTTTCCCACACAGGTTTGTACAATGGATTTCTATAGTTAAGATTGTTAAAGTAAATTGGAATTCCGCCTTCCACCAACGACAAATAAAATGCACAAGTCCCTGGTCTGCACGTCCGAAACCTCGTGCACCTCTTGCCATTCGGGCAAAGCTGGGAACTTGGACATGTAATAGTAATTCGGCGGTCTCCGTCGATGTGAGGGAGCCTCATGCGTGCCCTGGCCGACCCAATCAGCAGCTGAAATCGGAGGTGACCGGGGGCATGTCCGTTTGAAGATGGACGCCAATATATCGTGCAAAATTGGCATTTAATCTGAAATAGAGATTATGTTAATTATAATAATATGTTAAATGTCGCTCAGTTTCTAATAGAGATCTCTCTACCTCTAATAGAGATATCTCTATTATTTATAGTTTTGGATGCCCTATGACCTCTAGGGCCATTGGGATGAAATTATACACCAAAATGCAGAAAGCCCACAGGGGCCCTTACTGGGTAATGGCATGCGTTGGAAATGACATACATTCAATTGTGAGTTGGAATTTTATAGGCAGGAATGGTGCGGACCAATAGAGATATATCCATAACAATACAGACATCTCTATTAGAAAAAGAGATATCTATATTTTACGATTAAATGTTAACTTTGCAAGTCTCAAAATATAGATATCTCTATTTGGGATTAAATGTTAACTTTACGAGCCACACCAGGGGATCACTACTAAGCGGTTGGCGATAGGGTTAGATCCTTGGGGGTTGGTATTGTGGGGAAACCCTCATGCACAAGTGCAACAATACAGTTGCCGGTTTCGTCTGATTTGTCTCGTTTATTAATCAATATTGTTTTATATTTAGGGAAATCCTGAACTGTAAAATAATATTGTTAAATGAGCAGTATTGTACTGTATTTTTGCATCATTAATCGACTGTAAAGGAAGTTATCAGTAATTAAACGTGTTTGTTTACGTATTTACTGTACTTTTGTGAATGCAGTACAATACTGTATATTTAACAGTAATGTTTTACGGGATAAGCTTTGACCTCAATATGAATATTGACAAAAATGGGGCGTTGGTACTTTTGCCAGATAATTTTGTGGTTTCCCATTCTTTACGCAAGTATTTGACAATAGTCTGACAAATGTTTGTGCTTTTTGGATGTAGTTTTATGCGTAGATGCGACAAAGTGCCTAAAAATATAAATTGAACGTAAAAAAAGAAAAATCTTACTTTTTCATGCTTCAACCATTATTGCACTTGGGCGCCAAATGCAGATATACAAAATGTAAGTGTACATTAAGAATGTAAATCAAGTTCTGCCGCGATCAAGGCGTCTGAATACGAGGTATGTGTATCTTATACGTAATCATATTTGAACTGCTAAAATTAACGTGAATTTGAGAAACCTTTATCAACAAAACTTATACCTAAATACACATATAGAATGAACCTGTAATCAAGAAAAACGGTAACTTGCTGTGTCTAATGTCTACATCAATGTAATTACATTACATCAAATTAATTTAATTAATTGAGATAAATTACTGTTGTTTTTACGGTTAATTACTGTCCAATAAATGACGGCGATTTACCGTAAAAATAACTGTAAATCATTCATTCTACTGGCGTCCGTGCTGCCAGTAATACTGTGAAAATTTACAGGAAACAAATTACTGTGTGTGCAGGCGATTAGGTGGGCCATTTCCAACTGGTGAAGGAAACTATGGTTTCAAATACTGATAATTATTTTAATGAATAAATGTTGATAATTAATAGTTGTGAGGGTGCTCAACCGAGGCTCACTTCGCCAGGGACACTAACCTATGGTACAACAGAACTCACGCACCAGCCAGAGGGCGCTGAGCTAGCGCTCTAAATCAGAAGAAGACGTCAGACCAGTGGACCAATAAATATACTTTAAACTTGGCTCGTCGCCCAGCGCTCGAAAGGGGCGTTGGGAAGGACTGGTGGCTTTGCACTATGATTGGCTACACTAAGCACGGCCTATGACCGCGAGGTGATAATTTCCTGTTAGCGAAGCGTTATTTTTAAAATTTTGGTTCTCCAATGGCAATGCTTGAGCATGGGCAAAGTTTCGGCTTCATGACAAAACATGGCCTTGTCACAATCACTGCGTGGTACTTTATCTTCCCTCAAAGTATCGCTGATCAAGTGTCTCTTGATGATGTATTTCAAATCATTGGTTATCTTGATCCATTTTGGATGAACGAACAAAGTGTAGTGAGAATATTTTCAGCAATGAGGAAAAAAAGAACAAAAATATGGATTGATAACTGCCGAAAGCTCGCGCGCCTGGCAAAAGTTTAGCCTATCTACAATGCTCTGCAAGTTTTCAGCTGCGACCCTGTGTGGTGGCGTACTTCCTTGACTTTACTGTGCAAGGCCATCGGCCCTTCCCACCGCCCTGCTCGGGCGCTGGGCGACGAACAAAAGTTTAAACGGAATACTGTCGTTTGCTAGAGCTAAGACCACCTGGAATTTTGTTGGTATTTCTGTCACTGGGCCTGCATTACACTGTCTCACTGTTAACATGATTTTACAGTGGCGCATAACATCAGTGTAGTGCTATATACCTATTTGAATGAAATTTTTTGCAAAGGCAGGCCTTGTATAGCATTTTGTCTGCGAAGCAGCATGGGTTAAAAAAAGCCAGTCTAAGTAGTCACACTAAAAATTAGAGGAGGGCACACTAAATATTAGACTGTTAACATTTCCAATCATGGGAATGAATTCAAATAGGTATTTAACCTAAGGTTACACATTGAAAATAAACATAAATTGCCATGACTGTTTGGTTTACGTTTGGTTTTTCTTCAGGTTAATGCATTTTGTATGGGTAGTCCTAAACTTTTGCAAATGACTGTAATTATGGGATATTGCATATGTAATACAGGGGGCGCTCTCACCTTCCTATTTCGCTCCAATCGATACAAGGTTTGGACGTAATTAAATCTTGATCAAGTGTAACAAGGTCAAGTAATAAAAACAGGTTTTTTGAAAAATAGGGAGGAAAAATAGGCGGGGGGGGTTTATTTTCAAGATAGCCGCCACCTCGATACTAGAGGTGCACGTATGTGAAATTTGCAGCCAAAGCCATACGTGGTCATCAACAGAGTCCAACGTTAGTTTAGGAGTTCCAGCTTGCAAATAATTCATTTGACTAAGCAGTTGACATTTTTTATGCATTTTACCAACTTTTCTAAAAATTAGAAAAAAAACACGAGGCATCCCCCGAAAAGAAGCGGGTGGGGACGCCAAACACGTTTTTTTCTTTTTTCTTTTTTTTCAATTCCTAAGAAATCTATCGATAATTGACACATACTTGGAATTTTGCACTGTCTTGTATGTGGGAAGAATCGGACTTCATTCCTGCAAGAGAACGGAAATCACTTGTAACTTACACTCAGCCTAATGGTACGTGCGTGTAACATCATGCCATCCGAGCAGTATGACTTCTAATTCTGGTAACCAGATGTTCATGAGGTGTTACAAAGCTGCAAGCAACATGTAGGCCTACACGTATCTTACTTCACTATTCATGTTTCTTGAGTGTTGTTTCATAGAAACAAAACTCCGTCTGGAAATTTGCACAATGAAGGCTGCAGTTGTTATGGTCTATCTCGTCGCTGTAGCGTCAGCTCACATCTGTCTCCTGAACCCGCACCAGCGTGGCTCCATGAAAGGCATCAATGTTAAAGGTATAGGAAAAGTTGTAATCAACACATGAAGGCAAGCTTTTTAATTCATGGCAAATAATTGTGTTTGTTTTGGAAAGACCACCGGTAGGCCTACACAGGCATGTACACATACACTGGAGAGCAAAAGAAACTTGCCACTTCTGTCAAAGGCCGCATATAAAAATTCGCTCCATAGAAATAACCATTTTTTTGTACACACGTATGCTGCAATACCCCTTACTAATCACATGCCCCAAAACAAGTGATTATCTTTATAACAAAGAAGAAATTAACATGCAAAGCAACTTGGTTACTGTTTCAATAAGTTTGTGCACAAATATGGACGCGCCCAGCCAGCGCTCTAGGTTTTAGATATACTATCGCTCCATGGATGGACCACGATAAGTCTTCGAAACCACGAACAGCCGGCAATATTTTTTCATATTGTATGAATAATTTCAATTGTGACTCCGAGTGTATAAAACCGTATGATATATTTCTTATATGGGACTTTCACTTGTATCAGAAAACGTAATTTTCGAGACGAAATTTTCGAGTCTTCGGAATAACTATTTTGTTACCTGAAATTCCTTTTTGACTGTGCCCCGTGCCACTTTGTTGTCCGAATTTCTGTGGCGACTGTTAGTTGTGCGTGCTGCATCTCCACGCGCCGTGTAAGTTTTGATCAAACGTGAAGAATTTTTGGACTATACGCATAGCCTACCCAAAAGCAATGGACATAATTTGAATAGTGCGCATCACTCAGACGTTTTTTTAACGGTGTGGAAAAAGGATCATGACAAAGGGAAGGGTTTCCTTTAATTAATGAAGGTGAGGCCTTTACACATACATTTCAGGTAAAAAAATCAATGTTGAAGGTGGGAGTTTTACAGAATAAATCGTTGTTATGAATAGAATTTGGGGGTGTTAATCTGAGGAGATCACGGCGCAGCGTGTGCATTATAAACGTGACGGTTCGCGTGCAGGATTCACATCAGGATCGAGAAGCTGAAATGGGAATCCTTTTCTAGAATTATCTCCATGAAACAAAGGGCTGGTGTACATATTAGAAATAGCACAAGTTCTCCAGTAATCCTTGTAGCTAATGAAGACAATGGAGATTGTAGCTTTAAATGAAACAGGTCCTTATGAACACCCCCTTTTAAATTAATGAATGAAATAGGCTTACAGTCCGTTGTACGCACGCCAAGCGCAAACCCCCCCCATCCTGAAGAGCCAGCCAGCGTCATTTTCGTATTCTACTCGACCAGGGGCTAGTGATATTGCATGTAACTCTATGTGCAGTGGGCGTGGTGTAAACTGAAGTGACGTAGCACTTACGAACCGGGTTCTACTCTACGCTCACGATGTGATAACCATGCTTTACTACGATCTCTATGGTGATAAAGATTCGTATGGTGATAGCGCCCTCTAACGGGGTACGTGTGATGGTTCGTGTCGCGGAATAACTACTGGAAGGTCTTGGAACCAAAACTGATAATCTGATACATGTATTCTCTCGCCTACGAATTACTTGCGTTGAAATGAGTTATTCGCTGCAATGCGAATGAGAATTTGGGTCTAATTCAGACACGATTTTTTTTCCTGCTCTATAGACGCTGGTGACTGTGGTCTTCTGAATAAACCATGCGGGAATCGCACTCAAGATAAGCCGGGCATTCAAATTAAGTATGTTCCATACAAAGGTCAAAGTTTCCTAACTCTGGATACTGAATTAACTCTAACTTAAACCCTCCAATCTCTCTGAAACTCAGCCTGGATGTTCTGGAGGATTTTGCAGGATTATGAAAGGGACAGCTCATCAGCGGCCTGCATGTATTATACCTACCTGCGGGACCTATATGTTGCGTTAATTACACTAGGTATCGGAGGTGACATCTCTTTAAAGTAAACTACAAATTATGATGCTTTGTTCCCTGCATAGTGTAAAATTTAGATAACTCAGGAAGCCCCAAAAGTCACGCAGGGCCCTGAACAAAGTCCACTGCTTTGCAGAATTTCCCAACATTATCCAAATCAGTATTTCACTGGCATATATACTTCCAATATCTGTTCATTCTTGGTTTTCTGTTTCCCTCCTTGGCAGGGGAGGATCTCCCTACACTGTCATCTTCCAGAAGAACTTGAACCACTTTGAAACCTTTCCAAACGGAACAGCCACAAACGTGAGACTATATATGCTGCAGAAAGAATATTCCATATGGAGTGCAAAAATGATTAGCCCAGCCCCTCAGCTGAGACAAAAGCTTTTTCAGTTCCTTTGAACAGACAAGGATAGCATTTTTGGAGCTTCATGTGGCGTATAACAGTAAAAGCTATTTCAGATGGAAAACCACGAGCCCTCATCGGTATGCTTTTAATTACTCCTTGATGGGGAGAGCTTAGCTATGGAAAGGAATCTATTGGTACATTTAACTTACATATACATACAGAAGCCAGATGGCACCAGACTAATTAATGACCTAAAAATGTGGATGGGGGTCCCAGGAGAGCTGTATTAGGCTTTCCAAAGTGAGAGTGTGAGACATCTTTCATCGAAATTCTTGTGATGTGCATGTACACTTGTGTATTTTCGTAAATAGCCAATCCCACATAGGACATAATCAGACAGGGTTAAAAAAAACACAAACTGAGAAAATTGACCATGCAGTGTAAATGGATTCTACATTCCAATCATGTCATGTGCATTTTTTTGGATTTCAGGGTTATTTTGAGATATCGTTTTTGACCTCCACCGATGTCCAGATATTGAGCAAGGTTAACGATGGAGCCACACCCTCTCTCACACTTTACTACCCAAATGTCACCATGCCAAGAGGGTAAGAGGAGTTTCTGGAATTTTGTTCATCTTTTACAAACTGTTTTCACATCATCTTTATGATGTTTTTAATTTGCCATTTTGCCGGGCATTTCATGACCATTTTGGTCGTTTTGTATATGAAAAAAGTAAAATGCAACAATAATGTCAACCCCCACTAACCTTTTTTTTTTACTGAAAATCCCACTTTTGCAAAGGAGGAGGCTTTGTACCCTTCGTCCAAATATCTGTTTTGTCTGTGTTTTGAAAGTTGAAACATATGACAAACATATCTTTACCTTCGGCAATAAAACTACCTTGCAATGTACACAGTTGTGAGCGTCACGGTCAACGTCAAAGCAAAGTTCGAATGAAATTGCCCCCTTTCATGTTTCCATTTTGCCGCAAATAATGTATATCTCTTGTCATTGAATCCTGAATTAAACTTACCCCTATTGCAATTCATTCACAGACCTATTGGAGTTCCTGCCATACTCCAGGTGAGTGAACAAACATACATTCGCAATTATTCTGTCGTCGAACTTTGAAGACTTTGTTATCTAAAGAGTATTCTACAAATCCTACTGCTTGTTTGCAATCGATTGATGTTATGATTGCAAAAGCATCTAAATTGCTATAGAAATTCAGTGTACTCATTAAGAATTAAAAATCTTAAATTCGGTGATAAAGTTCAAAAGGAATTCAGTTCTGCTGATTGTCAGGGTAACTTTTGACGGACGGTGTATGTATTGCAAAGTCCAGCCACCGTGCCAAAAACATAAAATTATGGCAGGGTTTCCTTTGCATAAGACAGACACGGACTTTGACACTTATGGTGTACACTAAGAGAAGGCACCACTCAATTAGCAGTTCAGGAAATGTGGACAAACTCTGTATTAAAGTTAGTAAAGGTGAAAACAGGTGAAATGTAAATACTGTGGCGGCACGCCCCTCTGGCGAAGGCGAGGGTGCCCTCCTCCTCCAGTCGGAGCGTGGAGCCGGAGGGCATGTACCGAAAGGTCCCTGAGTGGCTAGGGATGAGTCCGTTGGGATGGAAGTATACCGTCCCCCAAGAAGGTTCGATTGTCTCTGGTCTGGTTGAGACGTCACCTAGATCGGCCCAAAGCTTAGTGACGTAGCCTGGACAGCAATGGCCTGAAACAAACTTCGCCTGGACACCTGACTTAGTAAAAGTATTTTCTTTTCTCATTTGTACATGGACTGCTTTTCTTTATCTTATCAGAAGCTCTAATGTTCTCTTTTCATTAAGTAGTCCTACATGTATCTGTAAAAAGTTATTTACATCCAAATTGCTAATTTCAATGTACTAAGTTTCTTTAATTTCTGATTTTTTTTTTGTCAATTTCTATGTACCGAGTTCCCTTAATTATCAATGCATTTTTTTTATAAAATAGTATGGAATAAACGTCTTCTTGAATCTTTGACTTATATACAACAATCAACGTGGCAGGTTTATCCGCTCCGAGCGAAACAAAGGAGGGTTTTTTTGTACTCACCATAGACATAAATTTATGTCTGTTGTACTCACCGCATAGGCGGGCCATGAGGCGCGCAAGCATATGTGCGTTTGACGCGGAGCACGCTGAGTACGCGTAACTAACCCACTTGTAACCACATGTCCTTCTTTTGCCGATTGAGGGTGCACTTCAGCTCGGGGCGGATTCATCCGTCAACGCTCTTTCAATCATTACCCAACGAATCACTAGTAGGGGCGCTATTGACGGGGAGACCGTGTGGTTATACATGTATGTGAATGGACTTCGCCCAGAGTAGCGAACACAATTAAATGTGGGCATCTAGTGCCGAGTCAGGGACTTGAGCAAGTCTATGGGGCTTATTGTCGGGGCTGCGCTACACGCAGTTCACGTTACGAGACCTCAGGGTCAGTCCTTGACTCTTCAGGACCACAAAACCTAGCCTGCGCGCCCCTTATGTAGCTTCGCGAGCGGGCCGCTGCTGCAACTACGCTTGCGCGCGCACTACATGTGACCATAGAGCTACACGATGTGACCATAGCAGTGACTTCCGCGTTAACCAATAATTGCTCTTCGCGGAAGGCGGAGTCTATGGTTGTACTACACCAAACACGCGCCCATAGAAAACAGTGCAAAATCGGACCGAAATAGCTCGTGAAGAGGTTGGCCTCCATTTTTTCAGTGGAAGTTGAAGATTATGGCCAGAAGATCACTTTTCGTTTCAATTTCGTGGGGGTTTGCCACGAATATTTTTTTTATTCGCCTTTGAACGACGATACCCCTAAATAGCCATAAAACTAAGCGCTCATTTCTGAATGTAGCCGCCCGCCTCTATCCAAAATACGTCCGCAATTTGGGGCTTTTAGTAAAAGAAATGCCGCAAACTGGAAGCTATCAGTCCTAAATTCGGGATTGATAGAAATATTTCTATGATGCCTCCTGGTTATGCCCTGTCTGTTTGTAAAATCCCGTGGGATCACAAAACATTAAGGAGCTCGCGCGCAGAAATACAACCATTTGGTGGAATGCACCCCTATGCGCCGCGCTTGCTTAACACACGAATATGCGCGTCCAACATTTGCTCTTGTTACTGGGCAGAACGCCATCTGTAACTTCGCACCATACCTTAGTGACTAGCGCCTTCTGTCTCGTCACAATACAGTTGTATCTTTCTTATTACGTGAGCTTAAAGCTTGACAATCAATGGAACGAAAAAAATGAATTTTTCTTCCCACTTCTCTTGTAAAACAGATGAAAAGTGGTCCTCTTTATGTACTCAAGACTTCTGACCCATCTATTTTCACCTTATCTCTCTCACAGTTGACCTATGTGACCAACAATGCTGAAGTTCCCATGGGAGGCATCTTTTACCAGTGCGCTGACATTGAACTGTTCTAGGGCAACACATTAGCTGATCTTTGACCATGCCGTAGCATTCACTGTTTACTCTCAATCTTTCTGGTCTTGCTGTCTCGATATCCTTTCGCACAGTGACACACAATAATTCCGCAACAGTGTGGCCTAATGGGTTTTTCAATGAAATGGAAATACCTGAAATACTTTTCAATCATCATGCAGTGTTCTATAATTTTGTCTTCAGCCTTCACTAAATCAAATCATGGGATGGATTGGACAACTTCTCTTCACTAATGTAAATCTTCAACATGAGAGTCCTCGCCCAGGAACACAGTTTGATTCTAGTTTAATTGAACTCTTTGGGTATAGAATAGTAATGTACGAGTTCAGCTGGCAAAGTATGGTAATATTTTTTTCTTATCACTTTCTCCGAGACTTAAGTTTGGGAAATTAAAATTAAAGCACTGAAATAAAGGTTTACGGCAGATTAATTCATTTACAATGATGAACAATAAATATTTGTAATTTATTCTATGTCAAGGTTTTAAGAAACATTTAAAGTAGTCGGTACCTCCCCATTTGACAAATTACATTCAGGAAACACGATAAAAAGTGGCTTCTCTGAGAATAAGGTTCTTCTTTGAAATTCGTACATGAAGTTAGGTACCAGAAGGTGATTTTGATGGAATAATGTTGTTATAATAAGGGAATAAAATAAATATGTGCTTGTCTGGTCTTAAACATGAGTTTCAGACCGGCTCAGGAGAATGGACACGACTGATCAGCGTTCAGCCTACTGCCAAGCGCATGTCTATTCCTGTTCATGAATACCTTTTTAGTCAGAGTCAAAAGAAGTCAAAATGTGATGGATTTGCAACGATGTTGTTCTAGAATTTTACTGTCAGTTTTCCGAACACACTGTTCATTTATGGTATGTTCCTAGTGCAATTTATCCAAAAGAAACTCCTTATACGGACTTGGCGCCCGCGTGGCGAGCCGCATGCACACAGACTCTTGACCAATCAGAATCGATTAGCTATCTTGTATCCAGGTGCCAGCGCCTGATTTACGCCGCAGGCATTATCAAAATGTTAATGCACGGTCAAGTTGCACGTTGTTGAATAGGGAGACTGTCTGAGTATGAATTTCAGATTCACTCAGTGAGTCAGTGCCTAGGTTCCTTCAAATCCATTTTAGATCCTCTCCAACCATGAATTTAACAAGCGTACTTTCTATAATGCGAACACGACGTGTTATCTCCCTTTGGTTATTGTCCCTAAATAGGAATTCAATACGACCCCCAGTTTCAAAAATATCATACCTCTGTAATTATTTGTCTTTAGTGAGGCACCGTTATTCCTTGGTGTGGGCCCCATTTGTTTTATTCACTTCACTAGGCCTAAATTTGTTATCTTGATATAAAGAGACTTAGTTGTCTTGAGTGAGAACAATTGTATTTTTTTTGGGGGGGGGGTGCTGTTTCAGTGAACCTTTCCTGATGTGAGATACTCTTTTGCTACATAAATATGAGATTGTTGGAAAGATCCGAGGTAGCTTCCCCTACGACTAGACATGCCCGCTTTGTACATGTAGTCCCTAGTCTGTTCAATCACCGGCATATATAGGCCTTAGTCTATTGGGGACATTGCGGTCACAGCTGAGTGAAAGGGAGCTATAAAACGGCGCTTGCGTCATTAAACTTGTGCAACATTAGCCTTAACAAGCAATTCGTTTGGTGTTCTAAAGCGGTCAGGCAAACGTCGTGATTGTGAGTTTGAACGTCTTTTTGTAAGTTTGAACGTCGTGTTTGTGAATTGCAAACGTCGGAGTTCGAACGTCGTGCTTGTGAGTAGTCAGGGCCAATTTCATGGATCTCTAGCATGATTTTTTTCCCTTGATAAAAACAGGATTACCAACCACAATACTCCTGTGTTGTATATTGCTTGTGACTGGTGTTCAGCTGATGTTCGCTTATCATAAAAATGACATGAATTTTTGTCTGGTAACCTGTTTTTCCTGAGGGAGATAATACTCTGCTAAGCAACTTTTTGTGCTTAGCAGCTTCATGAAATCGGCCCTGACCGCTTACAGACACGACGTTCAAACTCACACACACGACTTATACAAGGACAAGGTCATTCGAAAACAAAGCACGTGGGAGTCACCGTATATACTACCGAAGTGACGCTTCACGCACAATCTTGTGTCTCCGGTTCGTAAGTGTGACGTCCAGGGGGTACAATCAATTTCAAAGCGTATTTTCAGCAAATGTCAGCAAATGTGAGTTTCGTACGCCATTTTGTTTCAATTTTAGGGTGGAATGACGTCATACCGTCTCTTCCGTTCGTGTCTGCGTCTTCGTGTCTTGCAGACAGTCTGCATTACAAACGACCATATTGAAACCAGGCTTTACATTTTACTCAAACCTTCACACCATACAGCAAAACCGGCTCAATTGCAGTACAATAATAGAGTTCCATATTAATGTTCCACTGTTTGCGTCCCCATTTCTTCTCATGAGTTATTTAAGTTGACAATTCTGGATGAAATCTTGATCAAGTGTGACAAATGGAACGAGCAAATTACTATAAACGCCACATGTCGGGCATTTTCAGACACCATTGCAGATTTACAATTCAAAACAAGACACACAAGACCAGCTCAACAGCAGTTTAACTGAGGGTTCTACATAAATGTCATCTTCCATTAAGAGTTTGGGTTCCACTTTTTCTGTCCACATTTTTTCTTATGAGTTATTTATGTTGGCAATTTGGAATGAAATTTTTATCAAGTGTGACGTATGTGAATGCGATAAGCAAACTTCGTTAACAATTTCTAATCACTATAACACGAAACCACTAATTCACAAATCTAACGTAACGTTCCCCCCTTTGATAATTAATCATCTGTCAATTGGATATGTATACCACGGCTATTACTCACTGTCCGTTCATGGATTATTTTAGAGATATCATTTAATATACAAATAAAGTGCTACGGATGTACATTAATTAACTTGCATGCAAAACAGTGACTTGAGAAACAAACGCTATAAAAGTTTATTGCGTTAGGTAATTGTCTGTTTGGATATCTAAAATTCACTAAATCTACAAGGTCCAGTTCATGGCGCAGTTCAATCGCTGATTGTGCGCTGATCACAGCAAAGGCAAGCTTAACTCCATCGGAGGCAAAAGGTTTCTGAAATCGGTGACCTTACACCAGACATCTCCAAGCTTGCAAAACCGCCCCAACGCTTAGGACATGAAATAATTAATGATTCAACAGCATGACTTTCTGCTACAGTGAGCATAAATGTTCTGGTAACCGTAAACTATGCTCCACATTACGCATCGTAATGGTTATAATCATCTTTATGTGCATCTGAATTAAATTTCATTTGCTGCTTTATGAGCTCCCTACAGGCAAAACAAATCGCTTCTAAGACTTATTAGAATATCTAAACAGATAATTTTTCAATATGTATATTCACAAGGAAACATCATTATCGATTATACTTCATGTCAAACATCAACACAATACTACTTATTAACCCATCTACGTTTTAAAAACTTGCAGGGCAACATGCAATTGCGAATGCAGTGACCCAGTTTGATGCTCAGACATCAGCCTATACAACCTTTAATTAAAATGTCAGACCTTAACGATGTGGACTATTCTCATTGTCTCTTGTCACTGTCTCATTGCTTATTACTGATGTCGACGTTAGACCTTACATCCCATTAGTGCATGTAATGTAAGGATGTCACACATGTATATCTGTAAGTAGACTGGTAAATGGCAAAGTACCCCCATGCGGCGGCGTGGTCATTCATCGTGTAGTCTGGGTACCAGACCCGATGATTCTGACTACTCTACGAATCAAGGCTCCAGTATCACTCAATGTCCACGTGACCAACGCTGGAGGAATTCCTCCAGTTTCTCGGAAATAGCCGAAATATTCCGAAGTCGTCCAGTCTATATTCGGCATGTTCGGATGGTACCGTTGATGTTCAGTTATTCCCGGCCGGGTAGGTAGATTAGCCGTTGAAAGTAAACTCCCGCATCCTAATGACAGCTGTTGAATCTACAATATTTGACTTTACACTGAAATCGAAAGTCTCCTAGGTAATCTCCCTAGAAGAGAAGCTAGGAAGAATCAGGACCTGACGACTGGCAAATACATACAGTATGTACCACTGTCGTGAAATAAAAAAAAACTGGGCTCTCAACTTGTGACCCCTGACCCTTGCGTCATATCTATTTATATCCGTGGGAGATCCCTGACCTAAGAATTTTTATTAAGAGTAGTCAAGGCATCTTTGGGCAGGGAACTAGATTATTCCTCGTGTTGCCGTCACCTCCGCTATTGGCCGGTTCGCTTCGCACAATTCTTCACTCGAAATAATACCAGTAGAGATCCGATCTGGGTGTTTCGGTGTACTCAGTTTGAAATCAGGCATACCCCCCCAACACACACACCCACACACACACCGAAATAGAGCCCCTTTACTATACTTAACGCACATTATACATTATGATGTAAGCGATGTGTCGCGAACAACGAAAACAAAAACGTAGTCCTCGCTGAACAATAGCCAAAGCCAACTGGGGAAAGCTTAACAGTGAACAACGTCGAACGCAGCGTACTAAGGTAATCGGTGTAACTTCATGTAATTTACTTACAAAAATGTATGTGAATTGCACAAGAGAGAGGTTTCTACAACTGTGAGACACTACAATCGTAACTTTATAAATGTAGAAATATTATTGTCAACTTTTGAAGAAAATCGAATCCTGTATTACGTATCTGATACCATACTGTCCTTTGCAAGTCATGACAAGAACCCCTCAACAGACGGGACTGTTGCTTAATTAAGAAGATTTCCGTATTAGGCTACTGAAAAAATCACAGTCACTGAAAATGTTAAAATGCTGATAAACCTGACAGTTCAGGGAAACCTCATTTAAGTTTCTAGAGGCTTCATTCCTTGTTGCTGCTTTCTGATTGGCAATCAGTCACTATCGCCATGCCAATCCCAGTGGACATAATACGGCCTCTGCAAACATATCCCTGTTTCGAGAGCTGCCTGCTGGCTTGCAGTGTTTATTGGTGGGTGGGGGTGGTTGTGGGATGGGTATGTGGAAAGGGGCTAGGGCTTACATTTCAACAACTATTTTACTTGCAAATTCATGTTTAACCAAAAGGTAAATTGCCAGACTGCTTCGGTTTGTCATATTCGTGCCAAGGGAGCCTACATTCAACCTTTTCATGCACCAAAGGACAAGGGACCGTTCAAAGCCGTCCTCTTCACATCTGACGTTTTCAAAATTTGTATTTATTTTGTATTGCTTGGCTGCTCTCATGACGAACAAATGAACACATTCTGTGTGCAAATTTGAAGCACATAAGAATTAGCCACATCCAATGATACGTACAAGAATATTAAATTGCACTATGGCTATACCCGTTCGTTCGCTTTGGCACAAGTCCGAGGGCAAACACCTCTCAAAATATAACGTGTTTAAAATATGCAATGCGTTGTGAAAATTGCCATTTTTATGAAGGTAGGTGGAGTATTTCTCATTTTAGGTCTAGAGCCTGGTGGTACAAGGACAGGCACAAATGGATTCTATCCAAAACAGTGTCAGACTTACTGTAGACTAAAGTGAAAACCCTTCTTAAAACGCGGTTACAGCTGGGACTTAGTTTCATGTTGAAGCTTATGAGTTACTTTTAGTTACTGAGATTCCCTTATACTTTTCTGCTCAAAGTAGTTTCATTACAACCGGGTACGTGAGACTGAGAGATAATTGATCTCACCCAAAATACATGTAATATATAATAAGATGAACCACAATGACTACATGTACATTTGCACTTAGCCTACACTTGTTACAGCTAAACTGCAGATATTTTTAGGTGAACTCCTCAACGGCAGTCCCTGCTCCCGACTTGCCATTGAAACTTCCCCTGGTGCTTATGGTATGGAGTGGCACATCGGACGCCGATTTTCTTTGCTCGGCGTTTCTGCAAGCAAAGCAGGAGAGACTTTTTCTCCAGAGCGCCCTCACGCGTTGATTTAGACAAAACGCCAGAAATATGAAGACCCCCTGCAGCGTGTTCACGATGACGCTGATGTAGGACAGGACCACGTGGCTGACGGCCTCAGACACAAAGGCGAGAACCCATGATGTGCCAAAAAGAAGCATTAGCTGATGATAAAGATATTGATGAAAAATTTTACTCGAAACTCCTGCCAACAAAAATCCTGTATCAGTCATGCATGAAAAAGTCAAGTAGAACCATACAAGTTACATTTCAAAGTTATTCTTGGAATCAATTGCCAAAAATATTCACAACATCATCATGGGCGTAAATCCCGGAAGAATGGGGGTATATATCCCCAACCACTTTTGAGGTTTTTTTGGGGGGTTGGGCTTGCCCCCCCCCCACACACACACACACTCATCCACACTTTTTTTGTGATGAGCAAAGGAATTTAAGCGGATTGTGAAGAAATGTTAGGATTTCCTAAAGACTAAAAGGTTTGCAATGTCACTAAAAAGGGGAAACAACTTTATAAAGCCATAAATATGCCATTCTGATGTAAAATTCGGCATGAATTTGATACACAGTACAGGTGTACATCTTTATCATAAACATTGCCCCTATGTTGTATATGGTGTCCCCCCCCCAGCCCCCCACTTTTCAAATTTCAGTGACTGGGCAAGTCATCTCCCCACCTTTCCCCTTCCCTCCAAATTTCCAGCACAGATTTTCGCAACTGACCATCATTTTGGGCTACTTAAAGATTCCAAAGCCCGAATGTATCTAATTTTGTCATTTTACTCTCTTTGAAAATGGACCCACCTTCCCATATATCTTCAACTCATCAAAAGTCTCCTCTATCTGTCGTCGAGTCCGCACCATCTTGCTGTCTTTCTTCGTTTTCCGTATCTTGAAAATGACGATGGCAAAGGCAACGGTGCTAACGAGGAGAGACAACGCAACTGGGATACCAAAGACCACCAGTCGCACAGTCGTCTCTGCGATCCAGCACGGCTGTGACTCACTGTACATCGGTGGGAGGTCGGTGCAGTTGCAGAAATTCAGCAACAGGCAGATGGAGACAACGAGCAAAGCGCCACCCCAGGCAAAGGCCATGGAGACGAGCAAGCGACGACACTTGGGCTTAGATCTCCTGGAAGCTACCACCATGGTCCTACCGAATGTTCTGGCCACGTTGCAGGAAATTATAGCCATCCAAGCAAATGCAGACAGCCACAGCCAATGGCTCATCGAGGCAGCTGCCATACAGACGTACCCTTCCAACTGCAGAACCCCCGAAAGAACTGTATTGAGGATAGCAATAAAAAGCGCCCCCATGAGGTTCATATTGACGAGACCGCCCGTGTTTCTGAGTTCTGGGAACGCACAGTAAGTGACAAAGGTGGCTGCAAGCGCCAGAAGCGACAGGCAACTGCACACGACAGAGACCACGCCTAATGCAAAATTACCGAAGTCTTTCGGATCGATGGGTCCACACAGTCCCACCTTACCGTCGGGCAAGGGGACGTAATTCTTTACATTCCACAGGGACAACTGAATATAATCAAACATATACTCGTTGGGATGTAAGAGCTTAACATCAGAGCAGTTCTGGATCAATTCCAGGACATCAAGACACTCTTTTTGCACTGACAGCGACACACGACCAGCGGACTCCGCATAAACACCTCTTCCGATCCAAGTAAATAACTTCAGTACTGTAGAATCGGGAACGGATGTGTAATTGTTATCAATTGAAGTCTGAACTACACATTTCGCCTTCATCGAAGCATTTGAGCAAACATTTATTTGTGACAATGCAAAGGCTCCCTCTTCTAGATACATTGCGGCAGTTGTGATGTTGCATGTTCTGAAGACAGACGAACTGTTTTCAAATATTGCCATTGCATTACCAAGGAAAGTGTTAATCTTGTCAATTGTCTTGACAAAGACAGACAGAGAAAATTCTTCAGGAAAATTTTTGACATCAAGGTCTGGGTCAAACACTGTACCTTGTAAGGGGACGGCCTCCCAGTACGAGGCAGCATTGCCAAAACTCGCCAGAACCCCAGCGTTACAGTTGTCGTCCAACAAAGAAAACCATTGTGAAGATGAGTTGTTGGGAGTCTGCAAACCATCCAGGAAATCACCATCCTCTTTTGCGACACCCGACAAGGACAAAGCAGTGCCACATTCGCCGGAAGAAGGAACAAAAAGCTGTTCTGGCGGACAAATGATGTTCTCATCATTTCCCCAGCCGAAATCAAATATATCCTCAATGGAAAACGTATTAATACGGTTATGCAGCAAAGGTCTATCCAGGCTGTCAAAGCTCCAGCCGACAGGGAATATGTCCAAGTTGTTGAAAGCTGGATATCTATCCCAAAGGTCCCATTTCTCGAGAACACTGGGTAGGCCTAACCTGGGAGTGAATTTTTGTTTCTGACAGGTGGCTGTTGGTTGAACTGTCAGGTTATTGCACATTGCGCAGTGGGGGTTGTGAAATCGGAAGCTACCAACCTTGACCGAAGCAAAGTAGTCCCTGCATGCGTCTTCAAGGGTCGTGTTCCTATACTCTTCAAGGCAAGTCCCAGTCGTTTTGATTGGGCACCTCCTGGCAACGCCCTGCAATCCAGAACTACTCCGCCGTGGCGAGAACATAATCCTCCCCGTCGGTGTACCCTTGATCGTCATGTTGAGGTGAGGATAGTGAGTTACATTGTTCCCATTTATGTATTCTATACTTGCTTTCCATGTGTGTAATTGTTCGGTTTTGATCCCGTGGCAAAGTGCACAAAAGACGTTTTTGTAGACGGCTCCCTCTACGACGTACACAGGAAGTATTCCAACCAGGTCGCCTAGGGCCGCTTTGCGTTCGCATTTCTGTCTCAAAAAGGAATCAGCCAACGTGTCTGGACAAGAACTCACCAAAGCGAAGCCTGTCAAGTCGTAGTCGCTGTCGTAGCCTGGTACCCAGACGCACGAGTAATGCTCTAGGCTCACAGTATTTATTTGTATTTCTCCCCACTCGGCAGCAGGGTTGCAGTTAGCTCGGTAGTCATAGCAACAGTCATTGAAGTAGACGCATGCATCGTCGCATTTGCAGACTTCGCCTTTCATAATTTCTGGGTCGAACTGGTCTGGATTACATTCATACCCACAGTAGTTTTTCTTACCACACAAGTAGGCAGGAACGTCAAACCTTGTCGTCACTGGGGAGGAAGTGACATCACTCTCACATTAACATGCAATTGAAAACAGATGTCAGTATACCGTTAAAACTTATGATCAACTGCTTGGATTGTAAAATTTAAAAATGCAGGTGTTTGAAGTTATCTTTTTTCAGGTTGTACGGTTTTTTGATAATGTTCGGTTATTCAAACCTTCCATGCACTCGACGTAGGGGAATCCTTCGCAGCTGAACTCGACGTCGGACACAAGGTTGCACTGTGACAGCTCAGTTTCGTTCCCGTGACAACCGACCGCTGATAGGAACATTGATTCTGGAACAAGACTGACATTTGTTCGAGATTCGCCACTGATCTGTGATTCAGTTACTCTCACTTGCCCGAAGAATCCAAGATGGCGGCATGCCACTTGCGAGTCTCGTCCGTCCCAGTAGTCTGAGCAGATCGCACCCCAGTCGTCGGTGGGCCTGAACCGGCCCTGCAAGACACCGGATCCATCATGCTTGCCGTCTACCAGTCTCAGCTGAATATTTGGTCCTTGCAGAAATGAAATGAAAAAGAACCTAAATGATGGGTGAAATAGGGCATTAAGAAAATGGAAATCCTACTACGTGTGTACTATGAGGAAATGCCCCCCCACACTAAATTTCCTTCCATTTTATCTTTCCCCAAATCTCGCCTTCTCTTCTAGCATTCCTGCATTCTCTTTAGGAGCTTAGATCTCTTAAAATTCAACGTTGAAAGTCCATTTTCAACAATAAATCCATCTCAGAACTTGTTGATTTAGTTGTACACTTAACAGCTGTTCCCGTGTATGTAAACTGTGCTATAAATAGGCTTGGTGTGCAATCCAACATGGTGGCCGGTCATGCTATTTATCGTCAACAAGCGTCAACACACACAACTAGCGTCAACAAAGCGTCAACAACTTGAAAATACCCTCTAAAGATTTAAAAGTGATTTTATCATATTTAGAGGCTCTATAAGATCTGCTACTGTGTAAGAGAAACATCGAATTCGCTCCCAGATTAACGCAGAAACATGAAACTTTTTCGCGATGTATGGGGCCACCATCTTTCTTTACTGCCGTCCACGCCAGAGTAAGGAAAGATGGCCACTGGTCGGGCTGTACGAGCAGGCCCGAATTTGTCGCTCAAATATAAAGACACACGTGTAACTTTTTAGATAAAATGGCACATTGAACATAATATGTAGGAGCCTTACTAATAATGTAAATATAAAATATTTCCATAGAAAAGCTTGAATATTTTATTGACGCTTTGATGACGCTCGTTGACGCTTGTTGATGCTAAACAGCATGACCCCATGGCGGCTATTTAAGTGTAACTAGGAGCTTGTGGATGGGTTGAAAGGTCTTAAATTAATTCCAGACGACTGAGAATTTTAACTGATTTATGACATTAAAAGGTAGTTTGGAATACTTATTTAGGTTCTTTGCACATAAATCGGTCGATTTTGGTGGGATTTTAGAAGTTTTATAACTTTGATGACAACTCTGGACATTTTCGTCTGGTATGGTTATTAGTAGTCACTATGAATATTCATATTGACATCACTGTCATTTTCTCCATGAACGTAGGGCTTGTTTACATTGGATTTCGGGTTGTAAACACACCGGAAAAATGAGGTTTTTTTATTAATGTATTCACAAGTAAGGAAAGTGAGAAGTTATAGAAAATTTCATGAAGATTAGCTTTTAGTCATTTGAGTGAGGTTTTGCTAGAATAATATGTGAAAAATTAAGGGAAATGCCGCGAATGAATTTGCCCACTGTGAACTTCAGAAGCAGTGGGCGTGGCAAAATTGTGTGAGTATAGTATGACGTTCCGCATGAGGCGCGCAGTTCAAAGGTACAAATGAGGTAAATTCTAGGTGAATCGGGACTAGTTGATGTTGGTCAGAGAGGTTTTAGTCATGGTGTTAAGCATATTTTGAGTTGGGGAGCTGAACCGGGGAGCATTAAACTCAGAACCGGGGAGTTTTTGCCAGAGGAGCTGGGGAGCTTTTGCCTGAGGAACTGGGGAGCTTTTGCCTAAAGTTTGTCTGGACGCCTAAAGTTTAAAGACGATAGGCTTAAATGATGCCTAGTTTTTTATCTATTGATTGAACAAGTTTATATGAAACCTTTTTTCAATCATTGACCAGGACAGGCGAGACCTAGTTACTTGAGACTACAGCGTTCAAGTTACCTCCCTTTGCCCCTCGGCAAACTGGAATGTTGCAGAGCTTGGCTTATTTTTTTGTCTCACTGGATTATTTTCTAAATAGAGAATGTAAACAGGAGTGCTGACTTGGTTGGGATTGCGGATTTTACAGTTAAAGAATGGTTCTACATGTGTTTTAAATTGCTGGAGTTCTGACTGCATTTATTTTAGTCTTTTCTCTCTTCGCTTGTTACTTCTCTAGAGTAATTGCGTCATATATTTTAAACCGGATCCACGTTCACCATCGTGAATTGCTAAACCGGAGAGGCGGAATGTTGGAGGTTTAGGCCTTTACGATTCCCCCTGGTGGCAGTATTATCCGGGTTTCATAAGGAGTCCCCCCCTCCTCCTCTCTCTCTCTCTCTCTCTCTCTCTCTCTCTCTCTCTCTC